AGAGCCTTTCTTGTGCACCGGCTGCCAAACCGGCAGAAATTAAAATGCTAATTTGGTGCCATTAGCTTGACAGCGCAGCCATTACCCATGACCACACCACAGCCCAGAGGTCCAGCGGTTACAATAACGCAACGCACCTGATTGAAACCACCCGGCTATTATGGAGCACAGAGGTGAAGGGTAATGGACAGCTTAAAGCGAAAGTGTTGCAAAACCCTCTCGCTGTGGAGAAAAAGGCTGAAAGAAAGAACATATCACCATTTTCACGACACCATGTATTGCATTTTACAAAAGAGAAAACTATTGAATTTCATTTCAATTCAATTTACTCTTTATTTTATAAATGTAACATAAAGCAAAAGGTCATTGGAGTATATATTTACAAGAAAATGCTGTTTCATTTAATATATTCTTTTTTTATAGACACTCACCTAAAGGTGATTTAAGCAATTTTGAGCGTGGCATGGTTGTTGGTGTTTGAGTATTTCACAATCTGCTCAGTTACTGGGGTTTTCACACACAACCATTTCTAGGGTTTACAAAGAATGCCGTGAAAAGGGAGAAACGTCCAGTATGCGGCAGTCCTGTGGGCGAAAATGCCTTGTTGATGCGAGAGGTCAGAGGAGAATGGGCCGACTGATTCAAGCTGATAGAAGAGCGACTTTGACTGAAATAATCACTCGTTACAACCGAGGTAGTAACAGAGTAGTTTTTTGGACCAATAAGTAATACCACCATTTTATCTGAATTTAATAGCAGGAAATTACGCGTCATCCAGCATTTTATATGTTTGAGACACTCTGTTAATTTAGATGAGTTAGTGTTTTCATCTGGTCGTGATGAAATATATAATTGAGTGTCGTCAGCGTAACAGTGGAAATTAATTCCATGTTTTCTTATAATATTACCAAGTGGCAGCATATATATTGAGAATAGCAGAGGGCCTAAAACCGATCCTTGCGGTACTCCATAGTCTACAGACGTTATCTTTGATTTTTTCCCCATTTAAACAGACAAAATGATAACGGTCCGATAAGTACGATCTAAACCAGCTTAATGCCTGTCCCTGAACACCAGTGTATTTTGTAGTCGATCCAAGAGTATTTTATGATCTATAGTGTCGAACGCAGCGCTAAGACACCAGATCACCAGATCAACAGTCACCAGATCTCAACCCAATAGAGCATCTTTGGGATGTGGTGGAACGGGAGCTGGATGTGCATCCCACAAATCTCCATCAACTGCAAGATGCTCTCCTATCAATATGGGCCAACATTTCTAAAGATTGCTTGTTGAATCAATGCCACGTAGAATTAAAGGCAGTTCTGAAGGCGAAAGAGGGTCAAACACAGTACAGTACAGTATTGTATTAGTATAGTGTTCCTTCCTAATAATCCTTTAGGTGAGTGTACGTTGCAACCCCCCAAAAATTTTGAGTACATTTTACAAGAAAATGTTTAACTTTTAAATGCATTTGGCCCTTCATTTACCCTTCAAGACAGCGGTGTTTTGGGGCCTAAACGCCAACTTCAAAGTGCAAGTTTTTGAAACTGTTATCGTCTCTGCGTTGACTACATAAATGTGAATGATACGCATAATACATCCCTTTTAGTCGTATTCGCTGATCCGTTTGAACGGGGATCATTTTGGCAAGTTTGTTATCTCTACTTGAAAATGCAGTGGAGAACAGTTTCCATTTTTAGCGCATCGTTGCCATGTTGACGCACCCTAATTCAATGTGGTACTTGCTACCTGCAATATCTGAGTGAAAATCGTTCCTACGCCTTTGTTTTTTCAGTGTAAAAATGGAAAGACATCCACATACGCAAACATATTTACCCACAAATACCTACTTAAGCGCTGTAGCTTGGGATTTGTTCGATTTCTTTCGGGATAATCCTTTTAAAACCTCTCTTAATTCGTGGTTGTTTAGGGTACTTTCCTCAAACATGCTCTTTTTTTACCGCTGTGCATTGTGCTGCTGCTGGTTTAAGACGGAAATACGCTCTGTGTGTGCTGGGATTACTTTCGTTTGGCTCACAGTGAAGTCTTGTGTTTTTTGGATACTCCTCTGAAGACGTCTGTTGTCTTTTTTGTCACACATTGAGCTGGAACCGTTTTGGATGTCAGATGTGAGTGTGATTTAAGTGTGCCGTTGATCAGTGCATCGATAAATGGATTGAAGAGGTGATTGCTCTCTTCACTTCTCCACTATAATTCTCTTATCATCTACTCCAGAGATTCTGCTTCCTTCCTGAAAGTGGCCGCGAGTCAATAAGGACTCTTGTCACCTCAACTCCTTGCAAAACTCAAGTGATCATAATTATGCTGGCACATTATATCTCCTTAGGGCCTCTCCCAGGCTTTAACTCCTTCTAATGGTCTCCATTATCTAATAACCCACTGGATAAGAAAACACAACGTTTGAATGCAGTTTTGGTCTACTTAATCATGTATGAGGTGGGTGATGCAAGCCAACATTTAGATCATTTCCCATTGGTTTCACAGACAATTAAGGCTTAAGCTAGGCCCAGACTATGTTTTAACTGAAAGCAACTTGCACTGATATATCTTATGTTTTGGTGCACATCAGTAATTTTTTTTTTTTTCTAAGGTATTGTTGCTACTTGCTACATGTCTTAATTGAACTAAACCAGGCCTAAATTGTTGATTCAGAAACCTCTTTGAAGCAGAGAAGAGTTCATTCAGTGAAGGAATTGTTGGACTGATTCAAACCAAATCTGATTCAATTGAGTCATTTGAAGTGAATCGGAATATGTGGCAAGCGGACTACATGTTGTGACTCGGACTGAACAACACAGATTTATTCAGTCCAAATCTGATCTGAGAGCTTAAAATGGTTTAATGGCAGGAAAATCCAATTTTAGAGAATTTACAAAAAGTTAAATTAATAAAGTTAAGTAGTTCATGAACTTAAAGAACAAGTTAAATGAACAGCACCAATATGACACATTTTTAGACTCTTAAAAAGGAATAGTTTATCCAAAAATAAAATGTTGACATTATCTATTATTTTAAAGCCCCTCAAACTCTAGTAAAGTCAAAAACACCACACTGTAAAAAAAATAATGTTGGTTTAACCTGGTTGCCTTAAAATTTTAAGTTCATTGAAATGGAAAAATTGAGTTAATACAATGATTTAATCATCAGAAACTCAAAATATTATGTTATATAGTTAAGTTGAAAAAAAAAAGAAAAAAATCTTGTGATTACAAATAATGAAAATATTTTTTTACAGCGCATAAAAATGGTTCATTCGACTTGTATACTGTATTGTTAGTCTTCTAAAGAGAAGAAAAAAAAAACTTTTTTATGGAGCATTTTGTACTTTTTAGATCTTTATTATAAACGTTCTGTCAGTTTTTTGGTGTGTTCTGTTGAAGAAAGTAGACGGATGAATTATTTTCAGGTGAATTTGTTCCGTTATATAATAACAGGCTTTAGATCACATCGGTCGGAGTGATTTTGAATGTAATCATTTTGAAGTTTGATGAAGCAAAATTAGCGAGAAAATATTGCAATAGGAAAAACAAACTTGCTGAGGAAATTGCATGTTACGCAACTTCATAAATCAATAGCCTCCTTTGACTCCCAACGTCAGGAAACATCATTTAAAAGTGTTTAATAATGGTGTAACCTGCCGGCCTTGGTTTCGGAGATCTTGGCAGAGCCCCCGCTGAAGGAAAGCACTGCGGCGTGTTGAATACGGGCCGCTGAGCGATACGTCCAGAGGTCAGGGCTGTATACGGATTCAGAAATCACTCTTTGAGATGTAGAATGTACTTTAAAGGGGTCATGCTTTTCATTATTTCTTTAAAGGACCATTTATTGTGCCAAAACAGTAGTTTCCCTCTTTCTGTCCCTTAAGAATTGAGTTATTGAACATTTCACAGCCTGAATTTAAGATTTTTTTATTTGAATTGCATGTGCAATTTCCATGCATTTGGATCAAAGTTTTATATCTGACAGTCTATATCTGACTGCCATTTTGCCCGAACGTAATTTTGTGTTCAATCTGCTTAAATCTACGAACAACTTAAGTTTACTTAATCCGTTTGTGTTGGATTACATGATTGATTTGTGTTGCCTCAACTGAAACTGGGCAGTGCTTTGCATATGGTTGAATTAAGAGAGAATAAATGTTAAAATTAAGTGTTATGTTATGGGGTTTTTTGAGAAATTTAGAAAAGGGGAAGACTTGATATTGTGTAATAGTGTTTAAATTACATTGGAATTATTAAACCATTTAAATTACAGTGGGTTACCATTGTGGAGAAGAGTGGATCATTTTGTTTGTATGTCGACTGATTTTCATTATTTTCAATTGCTTTGAATTAAGGAGCATGTAAATCTTAGCATTCAAGATGCTAATATGTGCTTCTCCTAGCAAATAGCTAGCTAAAGTCTATCAATTTAATTAAATGTCACTGAATCGAATGAAATGTAAATGGATGAATGAATATAATAAAATGCCTTTGAATCATGTCAGGAAGCCTTTAAAAATTCACGTTGAGACTACTTAAATTGGATCATTTAAAATTACACAATTCCGTTATGTTGATGTTACATAAACAAATTATGTTTGTTTAACGTAATCCAGTTATGTGGAACCTGTTGACAAATTAAAATTAATTAAAGCCAACATACTGTATTATTTTTTTGAGTGATGACAACTAAACTATGCATCAATTTTATTAGTTTGTTAAAACTGCAAATAGACGTAATCCAAATAGATGGAATTAAATGCAATTCAAAAACATAAATCTTAAAGTTATGCCTAGTTCAATGAACATAGATTACGAAAAAGTTGATTCCTCATAATGTGGCCGCTTTTAAGAGATGTTCATGCATTTTATGTTTTTGTTCCCCACTAATCTCTATTTAGGTCAAATGTGCCCTTGCTATAGCATTTTGAAGAATGTTTTCCTGAAGCATGTCTTCATAAATGAATTTCTTAATTTTTTTTTTGTGTTTTGCAGAACGGAGAGGCGTCCCTGTTTGAGGTGAACATCCGTTACGTCGGTGGTCTTCTCTCTGCGTTCTACCTGACGGGCGCTGAGGTAAGATTCAATCTCACCCCTTCTTCTCACTAACTTGTTTTTTGTAATTAACTGGAACTGGAGTTAATGTATAATCACATGAATTACAGCCAGAGAAAGCTCTGTTTTGAGGAGAAATCACCCCCTGTGTGGTTTATCTGCAACAGGCCCAATTTGAAACCGAGGGCATAGATTCGAAAATAAAATAAAGGTGATCTAAAGACACTCAGAGTTGTGAGTCAGTCTAATGGAAATTGATTTTCAGTCAGAATTAGTCAAAGAGGAAGACAGATGCTCTGTGTTTTCTGAGACCATCCATCTGTGTTCATATCTGTCACACGTACCACATATACACATCAGATGAGTCGATTTGATGTTTCTTTGAGATGAGCATTGAGATGTTTGCTCGATTTTGACATATGTTTGAGATGAAACCATATAGTAGGAATACATTGCAAAATCTGTCATATACTCCATCATTTTGAGTCACTTTGGCTCAGAAACCTATTCGTTTTATGCATTAAAGTGAAAAAGAAAAAACGTTTTCTAATATTATAGTTATTGCGTTTTAATTCCAATGCAAATATTGTATTGAAATGGGATAAAGAGTTTTTTTTTTTTTTTTTTTTCTAGTTAACAAACTTAACATGCACTCTCAGAAAAAAGCATGGAAGCTGTCACTGGGGCTGTACCTTTTCAAAAGGTAAACATTTGTCCATTTTAGGTGCTAATATGTCAATTTTAGGTGTTAATATGTACATTTTAGGTCCTAATATGTACAATTTAGGTGCTAATATGTCCATTTAGGTGTTAATATGTACATTTTAGGTGCTAATATGTACATTTTAGGTGTTAATATTTACATTTTATGTGCTAATATGTCAGTTTTAGGTGTTGATATGTCCATTTTAGGTGTTGATATGTCCATTGTAGGTCCTGATATGTACATTGTAGGTGTTAATATGTACATTTTAGGTGTTAATATGTACATTTTAGGTGTTAATATGTACATTTTAGGTGTTAATATGTACATTTTAAGTGCTAATATGTACCATTAAGGTACACAAAAAGTACAGCCCCAGTGACAGCTTTTGTACTTTTTTTTTCTGAGAGTGTGGACTTAAAGTAACAATATTTTTCTTTTTGCTTTAACTCGTAATAAAGACGAGGGATTCATTGAATTGACATCTTTTTGAGGTTTTAATGGGTTGCATATACATTTATTGAATTTATTTGTATTTTATGTAATAAATTGCTAGCATGACCATATCATTTTCCTATAGCATGACCAGACAGCGTATGTAATTTGATTATCTGTTGGCTCATTACAGAGTTGCTCTCTGATAGATGTGAACACAAACATGATCAGTTTAAGATGCTTGTGCTTGAGTTCTGTGTGTGTGTGAGAGTGTCTGCCTCCGTCTCTCACTGTAGAGGGAGTTTGTTGTCCACCATTTCTATGAATCTATCAGCATAGCTCTGCAGTGATCTATCCCTGCATTCATGCATAGAGGGAATGTGTGTGTTCTGGATGTAGATTTATCTCATCCGTCTCTGAGTTTCCGTGGGGTTACACCACCTGCAGATAAGGGCGGGTGATTGGAAAACCCACTTTTGCGAAACGGCCACGGTGGCGAGGCATGTGTAAATCAGCTCGGACAGCATGAGGTCGGAAAACATCACAGGGCTTGGTTGCGGCTAACAGCAGGATCTACAGCTGGAGCTCCATTTGTTCAAAGGAAGAACTTGCTCTTGATAGTCGATAGAATCACTTAAAACATCATGATATGACCGTCACTATCATCTCTAACCTTCACTGAAAGCCTGAGATGGCTTATGTTCTCTTATTATTAAAACAAGGTTTAAAATATGCTAAAACGCATATTAAATTCAGGATTTAGCATTAAGCTTTGTATTAGTAGAAAACCTGTAGTATTTTCGAATTACCGTGCTTTCCACCCTCATATCCCCCTGAGACGAGAGATTTATGTATTTTTTGTCTGGAAAAGAACAAAAATCGTCATTTTGCGTCATCTGGAGACTACAGTCAGTAGTAGGGTATTTAAGAGTCAGTGTTTGCATTATCTCAGACAACCTTGAGCATGCATATGTTCTATGAATAACTTTAAATAGACAACTTTAAATAGACAATAGACAATTTTCCACCCTGGTGGACAATAAAGATATTATTATTTACGGAGGCGTATTGCATTCACTTAAAGAAAAAAAGTCTACTCTGTTTTTTCTGAATTAACGAGTTAATTTTTCATGAGAAAAAAGTTTTTGCTCTGTTTTTCTGAATTAATGAGTTAATTTTTCATGAGAAAAAAAATATTTTGCTCTGTTTTTCTGAATTAACGAGTTAATTTTTCATTTTTTTGCTCTGTTTTTCTGAATTAACGAGTTAAATTTTCATGGATTTTTTTTTTTTTTTTGCTCTGTTTTTCTGAATAACGAGTTAATTTTCATGGATTTTTTATTTTTTGCTCTGTTTTCTGAATTAACGAGTTAATTTTTCATGGATTATTTTTTTTTTTTTTTTTGCTCTGTTTTTCTGAATTAACGAGTTAATTTTTCATGGATTTTTTATTTTTTTGCTCTGTTTTTCTGAATTAACGAGTTAATTTTTCATGGATTTTTTTTTTTGCTCTGTTTTTTTACTAACGAGTTTTCTAACTCGTTAATTCAGAAAAACGGAGCAAAAACTTTTTTTCTCACGAAAAATTAACTCATTAATTCAGAAAAACAGAGCAAAAAAAAATTCTCATGAAAAATTAACTCATTAATTCAGAAAAACAGAGTAGATTTTTTTTTTTCTTCAAGTGAATGCAATACGCCTCCGTAAATGAAGTTTAGATGACAACAAAATTTTGTTAATGGAAACATATATAAAGTCTTCATAAAAAAGCTCTGAAAATGATTCTAAGAGAGTAAAATTATATTAGCATTCTTTACACACCCTGCTGCTCAGTAAAGGTGACCCAAATCTTGTGTTCTTCATATGTATGTATGCTACATCAACCGAGACTCATTTGAAGGTTCACATCAAATGCATCTGTATGACATCAAAACCAATGGATTTATGCAAACTACTCAGAAACCACTGACTGGGCTGTAATTTCCCGCTCCGTGGATTGTTCCTACAAGCAAAGGCTACAGATGAATCCTTTATTCCAATTACCTACAAAACTTCAGTCAGCTGTATCGCCCTTGTTAGTGAAACCGGAGGGCGTTATACTGCTGCTGTGTAAAAGCACGTATGCTAATTTACTGTAAAATCCAGCAGGAACTGCTACTTTCACCCATCAGTTGCTCTGCCTTGATGCACATTTATTGGTAATTGACCTAGAAGTGTAGAGCAGACTGGACTATAAACAAACACGGAAGCTTTTCCATGATTCTTTGAAGCCTATAGTATAGCCACCAGTGTTGGGGAAGTGAAACTAGTTCATTTCAGTTCACAATTTTTAAAATTAACTAGATCAGTTCATAGTTCATATTTCACAATTTTGAACTAAGTTCACAGTTCCAAAAAAATTAACTAGTTTTTCCATATATTTTTTTTTGTATTATTATTATTGCCACAACCCATATACAACCACTACAGCAATTATTTTATCGACGGACAAAGTTTGCACAGAAATGTGATTTTTCCCATCCTCACCGACCTTGTCTTAAAACTGATCATACGATGCGATGTTTTGTTGACCTCATGTTGCTTCTTGTCTTGATGACGCCTGGCTGGTGTTGTCAGATTGGGTGTTTTTTTTTTTTTCGCTACATATTAAGGCCTGTTTATGGTGTGTTTTCACCTGGAAGTCTCTATAGAAATCTAGCACCGTTTTGAACAAAGCTAAACTGAGAGAGCATGCGTTCACAGACACCAGAATGAACGCGTTCACAGTAACGTTCATCTGGCAGTAATACAGTACGTTCAGTAGGGGTGCAACGGTACAGATAGCCCACGGTACGGTCCGTACCTCGGTTTTTGGGCCACGGTCTCGGTTCGGTTTCGGTACATGTTTTGTGCAGAAAGAGACTGCTATTTCATCCCAAAACTATGTTTTATTTTTCTTATATGCATTAACATAATGTCACAGTAGGAAGAACATCAATGTGTATGAAATAAATTACACTTAGTTGAAGTGTTAGTCTGTACTGAACAGAAGTAATACAACCTCTTCAACTACCACTTATAAAATACAAAATGTAAACAAACACACTTTAGAATATTCAAGTGGGTCCCAATTCCAAACCTTGATAACTGGTAAAGTGATCAATGTGAAAGAAAAAGTGCACTTTTACCTTTAACAAACATAAATTAGCTTGTGGTTTGAATAAAAAGAGCCGAGCAAAATAATATAATTAAAAAAAAACTTCATTCAGGATACAAAGTGCATGTTATTTACTCATCCACTATTGAGAGATTCTTGTGCAAAAAGATACTGCAGTCAAACGTTTGACTGGGTTTGCGTTATGCATCCACTAGATGTGCTGGGAATGTAGCGAGTGCGCGGAGCCGGAGGTGAGGCGTTTATTTAGTAAGCGTGAGCGCGCTGGGGCGGGCACAACGTACATTCGCAGCCTGACTCATATATTCAATGTGCGGCGGCTCGCTGCAGCAACGGCTCGCTGTTTTGAATGAGACGACCCGGTACTGTGAACGGGGAGCGGTTTTTTGAACATCTGTGACGCGCGAGCAGCGCCGTGCGACAAAGCGGGCATATGCTGGACACGAGCGCGAGTTCGCGGGCGAATTTAATAACGCGGAGCGTTGTTAACTAATTCCATAAGGCGATCCGGATTATAAGGCACACTGTCGTTTTTTGAGAAGATTAAAGGCTTTTAAGTGCACCTTATAGTGCGGAAAATACGGGAAAAGGATCAGCACGAACTCTATTGCAAAACCGAAGTCCCGCGGGACACGAGGGTAGATTGTCCCGTGCAGGGCTGACCGAACGGTCCGGGATTTTACCGTGTACCGTTGCATCCCTAACGTTCAGTTCGCGTTTGGCCAAAAT